AGAGACTTTTTTAAAAAAAATTTTTATATTATAAAAAAATTAAGTATGCCTAAAATGGTACTTTAATAATGCATTCGTTAATAAAGGTTATACTTTTATTAAATACAATGAATTAAAATTAATTTGAAAGATTAATGAATATATGTTATTACAATTAATTACAATAAAGGTTATACTTTTATTAAATACAATGAATTAAAATTTATTTGGAAGATTAATGAATATATGTTATTACAATTAATCTGTATTAAAAAAAAAATAATAAACAAAGATTTAGAAAAAAAAGCGATTATTTTGACATAAAATAGTTTTATTTGTAATAAAAAAAACTATGATCTAAAATGTAATACAAGAAGATCATTTTGTCGACTAAATTTATTATGACTGTTAGGAAAAACGGCTTAATTTAGATGATTATTTAAATTTAATAATTTTAGATAGCAGTATGTAACAACATATATGATCTGATATTATTTTAAATATTTATTATTTATATTATATTATTAATTTTAGTAATTTATATTGGCCTCTATATTATTTATATTATTTTATTTTCGCATGCTTAACAGCATATATTAAATGCCGATATATTAAAGTGCAATCAATGTATGCGTTTAAAAAAAATATATAATTTAAAACTTTCTACTTAGTCATTGAATTTTTTAACCTGTAATATTACACTAATATTATACGGTAAAATTTCGAAGTAAATTTATTATATTTATTATAACCAATCGTATAAGACGTACAAGAAGTGAAAAACTACGTAAGCAGCGGCAAGATTATAGATTCGAAAAACTTTTTTCGCTCTCTAAAAACGTAAGCGTTGACGTATACGTAGTATTAAGTTCACTTTATAAACGTATAAGCGGTTGTAATAAATTGTTTCTAATTACGAGGATAAATGAGCGCAACTCCATGATTATTTTTCACCTCTTATTTAAGCGTGAACATGTACAGAACGCGGGAGGAATAGAGACATCACTATCTCAAACGTTAGTAATAACGGCTCTTCCGCTCTTTCTCTCTCGCTTGCGCAAATTACTACATATAAGTCGAGTAAGATGTCTGATTCTGGAATAAGCAATTCGTGTTCGGGCATTCGCACATTTCAATTTGCAGTGGTAATCATTTTTCTGTCTCTAGCGTCGAATCGGCACGCAAGATGAAAACATTTTTTATTAGAATGTAATTGTCCTGACAGAGAAAGAGTGAGAGAGCGAAAATTAATTTCCAGAATAGCCGACGCGCTAGCAACCGTATAATTTATATGCAAAATAGCGCGCGCTCGCACCTCTACGAAACGAAAACTCTTCAAATGGCTGCGAAACATGAAATCATTGCATGTCATGTACGTGTATTATACGAGATCACGTAGGCTACCGGTACACAGCTCAAATTAAGATTTTCTCGCTCCCAATGAGTCTGCGACTGTATGAAAACTCGAATTATGAAGTTTAAATATGAACAAGATTGAATATTTCACATTAATTACGAATTCCGCTGTATTTTTATAATTGCTGCGCAGTTAACAGACGGCTTTGTTATTAATTAACATCTCATTAGTTAGTCAGGCATATTGCAATAACTGCTTAACGAATTAGAAGCCAATTTTCCGGCAAAGCATGCAAATCTTTTTGCATTTTATTAGCATTTTGGTTTGAAATGTTTTTAACATGAACGCTCACTTAACATTGATTTTTTTATGAACATTCAATTATGTTTTTATATTTCATTTAAAATTGTTAACGATTTGGAGACTTTCATATATATATATATATATATATATATATATATATATACATATAATTAACGTCTAGTAGAACATTAATATTATGCTTATTCGATTAGCAAATATGCATTATAAGGAGTTTAATCTTTATAAAATAGAGTATTAATCATATTGATAAATAACATGTAATAGCCACGAATTATTATATTCTATATATATGTGTGTGTGTGTGTGTGTGTGTGTGTGTGTGTGTGTGTGTGTGTGTCGTTAAAATTATTGGATATTCTGCGAAAAATTGTCTTTATTAAATTTTGAAAAAGACATATAATAGAGTTTCATCGTGTAGTTCAATATATGATTAATAATTAAATTACACGCTATATTATCGTATGTTCATGATTTATCCGAAAGATTTTTATTATAACCCTACATAACAACACGCGTTTTTTCAATTCTCATGCGTTAAAGCATAATAATCTTTGGCTTGTCGCGTCACAGTGCAATAGTACCTGAAAGTGAATTTTTTTGTCTCGCCTACACATGCGTAAGTCATTGCGCATAAACTTCGCATACATCAAAAATGCAACGAACAGTTGGTTGACTGAGAAAAACTGAGGAGCAGACAGAGAGGCGTAAACTCGGTTCGACCCTTCCACTTTCTTCAACGAAGAAATAAAAAAACAAAGAAAAAGAAAAAACATCCGCGTTTCTTTTCTTTACAAAACGTACAAGAACAATATTTAAAAAATATTTTTCAGGTGTGTCTCATTGTTGAATAATAACATCGATGAAAAAATGGCTTTGCGCTGTAAAAGTAATTAAAATACCAGTAAGAGTATTCAAATTTCAAATTGACTTTAGGCACAATTGGGACTTAAATTTTTGTATTAATGTTATCTCTCATTCTAATAATATACGAGTAAATGGAAAAGAAATTTTAATATGTGGTTTCCTCGTAGCTCATAGGCCTTCATTTAATTCATTTTTAGTAGAATTTTTAAATAAAACCATTCCTAATACATTTGCATTTTTGTTAAGCTGTCTTTGCAAGTACATTAAAACTATATTTATTTAAATGTTTTACATATCGCGTAATCTTCGCAATCGCAGACCCTGAAATGTTATATATGCTGAGTGTCAAAACAAATTTCAGTCGAATACGACAGAAATTTCATTAAGAATATAGTTATTTAAATTAAAACAATACCTTATAAATTTCAATAAAGTATCGTGTGTATATAGACACATTAATTATTAATGTCATTATGATAACTATTTATTCTATTTTAGTATATTTTATCAGGATTTTAATGTAACGGTATAAATCGATAATACAGTATATAATATATTTTTACTCGTTACATATTCAACTTTACTAGAATTTAAAGCCTAATGGCATTGCAAAAGTAAATTGACAAGTATTTGCCAAGTCTCTTTGCAATTTATGCCAAGAATATTTATCACTCTATTAATATAATAATAACGATATATTGAAATTTTTTTACAAATGTTCCAAATGAACTTTATTAGATGAACTTATTTTCAAGTTTTTTCAATGCTAAAGTCGATTGGATGACAAACCCCGTTACTGTCCCTTACAACATGTATCGATTTAATATTTTTCCACCCCCGTGGCAGCCTCGAGCTCCGAGATAACAAGTCTCAATCATAATTCCCGCTTTCTTTCTTATTCAATTCTGCGAATCGTATTAGCATACATACGAGTTAGTGAGTCAAAAACAATCGCGCACATGTCATCCGCGGCAGCCAAGAGTAATTCGAAGATCAAACGAGACGATAAAGCAAAACTTGTCCCCGTAAAATCATGAAATTCTATGTATATTCAATATTCACACTCGTCCCAACATCTCTCTTCCCCCCTTTATCTATGCGACGTTCAGGGCCGTAAGGAGCCCTTCTACTGCCCATCACTGCTGGAAGGAGAGGCTCAAATATCCTTGCGATAAGAGTGCGGCCTCGTTGCGCCGCCCGCTCGCTCTTATCCCTCCCCCCCTGTGCATTCTGTGCATATTTACTCAATCAACTACCGAGTCGTAAAGCGTCGTCTGGGCTTAATATTCCACTCCTCCCGTCGGTTTCTTTGAATTTACAGGGTATCCAGCAATTTATGATGGGTGGAGTATGATGGAATATGTTGGTGCGCGATGATTCAAGGCTCCAGCGATGTAGAGGAAATTAAGATGAACCCGGTTGATAGTAATGTCGTATGACATTCTTTAATAATGACGGAATTTGGAAGGACATGGATCAAAGGACGTTAATTATTTGCTAAAAACTTGGGAGACGATGTATTATCATGGGCTTGTATGCATCACTGGTGAATAATTAATAAGTGTTTGAATTAGATAATTTACGAAGAAAAAAGAGGATAAATTGTTAATAAATTGGTATGGCATGAATTTCAATGTATAATGAATCTTTATTCACATGTACGTAGATTTATATTGAGATATGTACGAAATTATCTGCTCGTTAAACACATTAAGTTTGTACATTTTTCCCACGACACTACACTATTTCACACTGCTGTATTAAAGTTTTTAATAAATGTTCTTGAATTACTTCGTTTTTATCAGAGTTATAATATAACTGTTTCTATTAGGGTCCGTCCCGAGTAGTTTTTTCGTATCGCGGCAAGCAATAAATAAATTAATAAATTGGTATTATATAAATAATAAATCGATAATAAATTCATCGACGCTAAATTATGTGCATCCACGTATGAGCATCCAGAAAATTATTTTGTGAAATAAGATGCACCGCTGCTCATTCGTTTTCTCGAATTCTGAACAGTAATTTATGAATACAACGTCCCATAGATTATATCTATCGATTCGCTTCAATATAAAATGAGTCGAACTGATTCTTCAATATAAATATACGTACGTACGTACGCATTCGTAGTTACATAGAATCAGTCGTGGACATGCGTAAATATGAATTATTCCGATCATTTGCAGAACACGAATGCAAGAATTAAAAATGTTACATACATGCAATAATAACGCCGAGCAATAAGCAAAATAAATACATAAATACATCCGTATGGTATGCTATTAGGTTGAGGGTCGAGTTTCAAATAAATGCAAAGCACCCGTTCGTTTGCGAAAAAAAATCAACTTCTATTATGAATTTCGCCCATACGATGGGTGAAACAAACTTGCTAAATATTGTTAAGCACAATTAACGCTGTTCCCCTTGCTTTTGCATCGATCGTCTCTCAATTTGCTCTTTTATCACGATGCAGGTTGTGACGGGGAGAGTGACGAGGGCGGCAGTAAAAGGCGACGCAGCAGGACCAACTTCAATAGCTGGCAGCTGGAGGAGCTCGAGCGAGCTTTCCTCTCGAGTCACTATCCCGACGTCTTCATGAGGGAGGCGCTGGCTGTGAGGCTCGAGCTGAAGGAGAGTCGCGTCGCGGTAAGATTATTTAACATACGTAATGTTACATCGATTATGGACTTGTATTACGAAGAAGCTGGAGTTTGCCAATATCGGGGAACGTTTGGTTGGTTTTGAAGATTTATACAATGGATGTGCGTCGGCTTGTTTCCGTTGCTAGATTTCAAAAGATTGCAGCGACGATTATTTTGTCCAGGCATTATTTGACGAGTTCTTTAACGATATTGAAATAAAATTCTTTTCGCGTGAGCGTGCTTTTATAGTGAAAAAGATATGCAAGCTGAGGGCTGGAGGGCTGCGAGGTCAAAATTCCTTTTAACCTCAAGCTGTTGGGTAAATTTTCCATTAAACTTCGTTGTGCGTATAAATGACGAGTTAAGTTGTAATGCGACACGATGTTTATATATATATATATATACGCGCGCGCGTGTGTGTGTGTGTGTGTGCACGTATCACAGAGTAATAATTACGCGCAATTAGTTTAACACTCCGCTCTGCATATTACTTAGAAGGTAATACGTTTCTTATTAAAGGGGACATGGTAGGTCTCATTATATTTTAAACTTTAATTTCACTATGCTCGCAGGACCATAAGTATAAATTCATCGCAATCATTTATACAGATCTAAGGAGTTACATCAATTAAGAAAACTTTGAGAACCCTAATGAGCGAGCGGGCGCATAAACGTAAAGCAACTTAAGCACGATAACTTGTGTACAAGTGCCATTTACCCTCCGGTACGTCGCCCAAAACAGCAAACCAACGACGGGAGCTGGATAAACGATACGTTTCAGTCGTACGACTAAACTAAAAATCCGCAGTGAGTTTATCCTCGGAACGGGGTGAGGTTTATCGGTGGGTGGAGGCGTGGAAAAGCCGAGCTTGGCATTAGCCTCTTCAAACTCGATCGAGGGTTGATACAGCGGCAACAGACGTCCGGGGCGTTTGTCGACTTCGCGTCTCTTTTCTCTCGTCTCTCGGGGGTAGTTTGTCCATTCGACTTATCGCGCCGTAGTGCCGCACTGGCACTAGCTACTAGCTTTTCCAAACTGCTCCCCACACGTCACGCTTAAACGTCCGACACGGATTTAAGGGATTTAGCATATTTTCGACGGCGCGGTGGATCTTTCGTTTGCGCACGGCGCGCGTACGGGGATCTCGGGCGCTCGGATTTCCTCCTCGAGGTTTATTGACCGTTAAATTTCTCCCATATATCCACTTTGGATGCTTCCTTAAACTTGAAATTTTGTCTTATCGGCTACATTTCGAATGTTTCGAATCACGATTTTATCTTCGCTTTTTCAAGTTACTTTCCATTTGACTGCGCGTTATTTATGCGCTGCGAAGCTCTTCGCCTTTTAGCCGTGAGTTTGTGAGCCGCCGTAATCGCTCGCAAGCGGTGGATTAGAAAATGAGAAGCACAGACGTTGTAATAAATGAGAAGGAGATTTCGGTAGCTCGTCGATAAGTTGAGTGACAGATTGCCGGGAATCCAAGAATCCACCAGCCGCGAAGGATGAGAATCCTCACGCAGGATCAAGGCTTTAGTTTACATTGTCCAAAATTACTTAACGTATAATCAGAAGAATCTTGCATCTCGATCTGATCAGGCCTTCTGATTCCCGTGGGTCCAGGCGACGTAAAAATTTTCCTGAACGGAAAGTAGCACGGAGTCGCGTACTCCGAGCTAAGTTGACAGTTCGGCCGGCGGACGTAAGGGGACTTGTAGCCTCAATTTCACGGTTGGTCGGCTACGCAGGACCGGAGAAACGCGATGTTTTTCCCCTCCTGCAGGGCTGCACGAGCATACGTTTCGCGGACTCGCCTCTGCTTGAGCCACATTTATATTTATGCCCTTCGACACGCTTGGCGAAGCAAACGTATGATCGACAATCGCGTGGACGTATTTTTTAATTCGAGCGCGGTGCAAGTTCACTGGCTTTTTTTATGGCTCGCTGCTCGAATGCGAGGGAATCGGTATTGCCGGCTATTTATTGTAATGTTAACGACAGTGGTTTGGAGGACAACCGCAAAAGCTCGAGGAAGAATTCGAAAGTATGTTTGATAGCGAAAACCGTGGTTTTCTTAAGATTGGTATATAGTGATTTATGAATTCTTGGTCGTTAAATTTCATGAGCTTTTGCTGGCGTTACCGATATTGTGCATTGGCTACAGTAGGCAATCTTAACTTTTTCAATGTAATAGATTAGACTTTCGGTAATTTGTAGTGTCAGAATCGAGCACCTCAATTTGTAACGAAAGATATTGTAACAAAAAATTCGTCGATATTAATTTACAATCGTTAAATTTTAAGTTGAATTCTTTTAAAAAATCTTAAAACTATAACATAGAAATTGTTAGGGATTTTATTTAAACTATTTTTCGTCTTAATGCAACGTGAGTATTTACAAATAATACTTGTCATTTCTCAATTGTTCTTCATTCTCGCAATTTATTATTGGCGTTGGAATGGTTAAGCAGCGATATTTGCAATAAAAATACCATTTTATAAATTAAATGATAACGATTTACAAGCCTTTCGTACTTTTACCACGTCCATATATACATACATATTGCGTTAGTTTTAACCGAATGAGACAGATGCTTTAGAATACCTTATATTCTATTACGGGATAATATAGTTTCTATTTAGAGCTTTAAATTTAGTCTCGCGATAGTCGCTATATGACGTTGCGTGCCTTGGAAAACGATCGCCATTGATGCACTCATCAATTACATTATTTTGCAGAGTAGAGAAATAAGCTCGTGCGCGCGGCACAAGTCGGAAATAAGTAATCAAATAAAGCATTTGCTTTAATATTCAGCGAGGGTAATAATCCCGACAAGCTTTCATAATAAGTCATAACACATGCTAACTCATCCGTGGAACTTGCTCGCGCATTCGGCTTTTTTTTATTCGCTTGTCACGAGAGAGAGAGACAGTTAAAAAGAGGGAACAAGAACGCGTGGAGATGACGTCCAAAGCGTCAATAAAACGTCGACATACGCCGAAAGCGCATAACCACTCGCGCAAGATCCTTCGTGACTCACGTGCTTACGCACGAGCCATAATCCCCGGAGCCTTTTACACTGCTTAAGTGCTTACGAGTCAGAAAAAAGAAGCACGAAGAGAAGCAAAGTGCATGGAGAAGGAAATTTTCATACGAGCCATGCCGCAAATGGGTTAGGTCCTAGAGTAACGTTAGCCAAACCTCCAATATAAGCTTTAATACACGGGTAATGAAGCCGTTCATCCCTCTCCCTCTGTCTGTCTCTCTTCTTTACTAATTCTTTCGAGAGTTGCGTTGACAGTGAGGGGACGCCAGCACGGCGTGCGTGTATCCATCCGGAGGCGCATAAATCTTACCCGAGTGAGTGAGCGAGACAGAGAGACAGAGAGAGAGAGAGAGAGAGAGAGAGAGAGAGAGAGAGAGAGAGCTCCTTTGGTCTTGGGCTACCGCCGCGGGACGATATACTTAATAGAGTTCGAGACTACGGGGATGATGTATGGCCGGATGGCTATTTTATTTTACTTTTGCTATACGAATATGGGCGTTGGTTGTACTTGAAGAGCCCGGCGAAATCACCGGGGAAATAATGCATTGTCGTTTGGTGGCTCGTAGCGAAGCTGAAAACACCAACTAGTCGTTTGTATCGGTAGCCAATCAGAAGTACATCCTGCACTTGGTCGACTAATTTATGTAGAAATTTATTTACAAAAGGCCTCCCTTCGTTATTTTTAGGATGAAGTCAAAATTAGCCAATGGAACGTCTCTAGCGATATTCAAAACAAGTCTATTCTATGGAATTTATTTTCACGGCATTCGAAAGATTGAATAGCACGCAGATTAACGTTAATTATAAACACAAATGTAAATCACATTGGATCCGTCATTATTGGCAATGGAATAAGTTAATAAGCGATTTGCGACGGTATGCGAGAAATTTGGGATTCACCTTCCTCCTTATCGCTGTTTCAAGCATCATCGGGTATAATCTAAATATAACGTGGCGCAGCACGGATTGTTGTATTCTAAAATGAAGCCGTAGGCCCCATCCCGGGCAGTCGAGCAGAACTACCAAATTACGCAGCAGACAAGATAATTCTCTTATTGTCCACTCGAATAGAAAGCGAAATAAAAGAAGAGGACGTTGCACACGATTTACAATGATCGGGCTGTTTAGGCAACAGCTAGAAAAAGCGCGTGAATCGATCGTTTCACAAAACCGTGGCGCACGTTATTAAATCGTATGCAACGAGGCCGAATTAAGGATTAATAAGGAGGGCCTCTCCAATCGTTTCTCGTACTGTCGAGGCTCGCTGCAAACCGTCCTTCCTTCCCGTCCAAACGGACGCACATATAGCGTGACTACGGGCATTCGCGTGATCAATTGTATCGTGCACCGTCGAGCGCGAAAACGTAACTTGCCGAGTTAGTGAGCCGCTCGCTCGCATTGTGTCGAGCAAGAAAGCCGAGGGTAAAGATGTCACGAGCCATGCGGGAATCTTGGCGAATGGACGCCGAGACGCTCTCGGACTGCGAGCGTTCATCTGTGTTAGTATGCGCCGGTTAATCAAAGCCTTTGCGAGCGATGCAGGTGAAAAAATGCCGAATAATTAGTCATGTAATAACGGGGATGGCGCTTTCTCATTAGCGCTCGCGTCTCTCTGTACCTTGGATGACGATGGAAGGAACAGAGAGAGAGAGAGAGAGAGAGAGCGAGAGAGTGGATTGGCGACTCAGGGCCGCGGAAATTTTTCCTCCAACGAAATGGGAATTATATAACTTTATTTGAAGAGCCGAGTCCCGTCCGCGTGTGCATGCATGTAGGCAAGGAATTTATTTTCTAGGAGCAGTCCGTACGTTATTTCTGTTGCTACTTTCTTTTTAGAAGGAAAAAGTAGTTAGAAATACATTTACATTAATCTGTCACGGACTCCACGAACTTACTGCATATAAATTCTTTTACTTTTAATTTGCATTTTAGTTCGTACTTTCAATTTAAATTATAAAGGCTCTCCATAATAATTATTAAAATTACGTAATGTTGAAGATTCTTATACGGACGAGTTGATCTCACGCTGATTCAGAATGCATATCATATATTTCTCAGATATCGTCATTTTTATATTATTAGAATTATCCGTGCGGAGCGTTCGAGCCGGGAAAGAACGTTTCGTCTTGTTACTCGGTAAGATTCGGCGGCAATCATTGTCGATAAAAATTAAATAAACGTGATAATGTCGTGTAGTAAGTACCTACGTATCGTCTTGCGGACGGCGTTTTAAATCGAATGTGCACTCGGATGTAAAAGTTGATGACTGAGCGCTCGCTTTTACGCGCGCTTATTACTCCATCCTCTCCTATCCAATAGTAGCTTTCATCATCGAGCCGAGACAACTCGCATTGGCGTGAGAAAAACAAACGCGTTTATCCGAATGGTCAAAATAAGTTTGTTGAAATGCATAGAGAGACATGGGGAGGCGAGGGACGAGTTCGCCAATACATAATGATGTCGGGTATTGGCCGGCGGTCTCGAGGTGGCAAAGGAGAAAGCGAGAGTCTCGAGGCTTTATAAATCACGCGCGAGCGTCGTTAGTCGGACGAAAAGGAAAAGGCCCGCGACACGCGACTCGGGTCAATTTTCGCCCTCTAGGCACCTGCCGGTGGAGGCAGGGGCTAAGGGAGCCGGGAGGTGGGCCGGGATCGAGAGCCCAGCATGGCCTGGGCTTCCCTATCGATTTCGCATGCACATTCGCGTGCGAGGCCAGCGCCACTTAAGCCCCCGCTGCCTCACTACCCCCATCGCCCTCGGCCCCCTCCCTGGCCGTTAATGTCTCTATCCCCTTGCGCGCCGCGCTGTCGCGCGATTCGCCTCTCCCTCCTTCACCAAGGAGAGGTTAGTTTCAAGCGTATTTATCCCTATTTGCACGAGGAGGTGTTGCGAGGTAATGTCAGACTTGGCTGGCGAGCCAGCAATTTCTACACTGACTCGTACGATAATATCTCGGCGATGATTCGATGGCGATTCGTTCGAGCCTCGCACTTACCGTTACTGTAACGAGGTGACAATATTTCACCGTTTCGCGTACGAACGTGAGTTTTTTTGCGTTCCAAAACGTGTGGGAATGGCCGTTTTACCAGTGTATGCCCGTGCGCGAAAGAGATTATTCGGTGGAAATTAACACAAGATTAACTGGACTTTATGACTTTGTATTTATGTTGGATTATGGGAGTTAAATTGTTTTTACAAGTAGATACTTACATTAGAAGGGAGTTTGTTTAGTACGACATTGTTCTAGACTGGCTCCCGTGCTACCTACATAATGTATGTAAAAAATTTCGTTATCACAACCGTGAAGAAATAGAAATATGTAATAAATCTTTATGTTAAAGACTCGATGTCATTAATTATTGACGATCATTGTGCAGAATATCAAATGCAAGCAACCCATACGTTTGTGTGGCATTTTATCGATTATGGTAACGCGGTACGGGCGCAGGTGAAAATATAAGGAACTCTCGTCGATTCTAGTGTTTTCCATTTTATGCAAATTGTTTCTCCTTCTAAGCCACGTGTCATCTTTCACCTATGTATATCGACGTAATTGAAAAAGACGAGTTCATCCCAGTAAAGAAAGAACGTTGCTATCTAATGGAAAACGCATGGGCTTCAAAATTGATAATCATTTACGCGATGAGGAGCGCATTAAGCGTTGATATATTTATTGCAATGGCTGTTATTATACCTTCGGTTCCTTTAAAACAGCATTAAGACAAATGCAATGCAATCAGGCTTGATACATGACTATTAAGACTCCTTAAAGGCCGGATAACCGCATCGCCGGATGCTCACCTCGCGACCTTCGGTCAGCGCTGCCGCAAAAACACAACCGCAAAGCCTCACGGCTTGCGCTACCCTTGTCGACGACGCGCGTAAAAGCATAGAATCGAGTGCGTTTGCGAGTGCGGACCGAGAGCCCAGCGCAGAGCTCAGCCACGGGTGCACGTAAGCGCGCGGGGGCGCACTCATGCTTACGGACTTATTAAAAGCAAGACCGTGCGCGGGCGGCTTTGTGCTTTCAGGTATGGTTTCAAAATCGACGGGCCAAGTGGAGGAAGAAGGAGCATACGAAGAAGGGCCCGGGCAGGCCAGCGCACAACGCCCATCCTCAAAGCTGCAGCGGCGAGCCGATTCCGCCCGAGGAGCTGCGCAGGAAAGAGCGCGAGAGGCGGCACAAGAAGCTGATGAAGGCGCTCGAGAGGCAGCAGAGAAAATTGGCGGCGAAGGTGAGAACGATCTAAATTAATCTTGGATCTCCTTGTGAGGGGAAATAAAAGGTGGCCCCTCAGAGAGGAGGGGACAAGAGGAGGCCGTGACGGGTGGATGGTGTAGAGAGGATGGGGACGAGGAAACGGGAAGGGGAATGAAAGCTGAAGGAAACGCGAAACAAAAGAGAGCGTTCGCTCGCTTCTTCCTATTTTTTTTCCTATTTTTTCCTTTTATTTGTTACCGTGAAGGAGGAGGAGGTGCCTTTGATTATTTGAAATTCAGAATGCAACACGCTCGACTAATAAAAAACGCCGGAGGAATTAGGGGGTAGACAAGTTAATAAGTTGGATTTTTTCGAAAGTGAAATTAAAATATAGATAAATGTGAATTCCTTCGTTTTCTTTTTAATTTCTCTCTTTTTCTCCGAGACTCGTGCGATTAAATTAAATCTTGTTCTTCGAGCTGATTAGATCATTTGCATACTATAATTATTTTTGATGTATAAACTAGAATTATCTTCATTAGTATAGTGTGGTGCTAGCTTCAGATTCGCTCAATTGGCTTTTAATTTTAAAATATTTGTCACTTCTAATGGTGCTGCTTTGTATGCACTCGACATTTCAAAATAAATTCAACGTTATAATTTGTTATAGCTGTCAACTAGCCTTTCAAATTCAAATGCACTATCACTTTCACTTTGATAATAACGCTACGTTTATAAATCCTATTATAAAGTAAATAATACTATTATTATTATGTTCTTTTTATTATTCTTACGTTGTAATTTGTATATTATGGTTTTAATTAATGTGATTTATTGATTAAAATTTGTTCACGGCACATGCATCATACGTGTTTGAATTTTATGGTAACAAACCATTAATTTTATAAGGACAATGAAATTATATACTACTAATCATTATCAATAATTAATACACTCTACTTGCATTACGGCTATGCTTAGAGAAAAGTAATCGTTGGCGTTACTTTTTATATAGAAATAGTACAATTATTTTCTTCGATTGGATCGATATAATTTATTCCATCCTGAGATTGAAATCTCCGTAAAATTTAAAACATTGCTAAAATCATCAATATTGCCTTTTATTTCATTTCATTTATTCGTATATATATATATATATATATATCTGTGTGTGTGTGTGTGTGTGTGTGTGTGTGTGTGTGTGTGTGTGTAATTCAAATTAGATAGAACCTTAAAATGTTTATTAGAAACGAAAATATTTAATTTAACGAAAAATTAAACGAAGTATTTCTAGGCGAACGTTTAAAACAATATAATTATTTTATCAATTTAACATATATATATATATATATATATGTGTGTGTGTGTGTGTGTGTGTGTGTGTGTGTGTGTGTGTGTGTGTAATTCAAATTAGATAGAACCTTAAAATGTTTATTAGAAACGAAAATATTTAATTTAACGAAAAATTAAACGAAGTATTTCTAGGCGAACGTTTAAAACAATATAATTATTTTATCAATTTAACAAACGAACTATTATATTATATACATAAAATTATAATGTTTCAATGGACAGGAAATGTTATGTAGCTATAAATGCTGATTGATATTCTTATTGTTTCTCAGAATTATTATTATTCTTATTGAAATCCATATATTATTAGTTATCGGTTAGTGTTGCTTGCAGGTCGTGGTATGTAGGAATGATTTTTGTAAACTAACTATGCTTGATTTCGTAAAATTAATGCTTTAAATTATTATCCATTGAAACACGAATTTTAAAAATAGATTATTTCATTTCACTTTATCGTTAACGTCACATCTTCACTCCCTCTGATTAATCGCCTGTTTAAATTACTCATTTAAAGCTTCAAGCCCCCGCCACCCGATGTGCTTTCTATCTGCAGCACACATTGTCTCGTAGTGGATTTATATTAAATAAATGCCACAACGCAATTCAAATCATTAACGGCATTCGCAGCTCATTACATTTAAACGTGGCGAGATAATGAGATTGCCGTAACCGAGGCAGCGACATCATGTAACGCCAAACATATGCTTGATTTGCCCAGGGTATCACGGTGGACTTGTCGACACTGAGGGCCGAATGGGAGTCACGCAGTGCTGCGGCAAGTGGCGGCGGAAACTCCCTGAACGGCAGCTTCGGCCACGGTATGAATAACAACAACAATGAAAGCAACAGCATCTCGGGCTCGGGCAACGACATGAACGAGGAGATCGACGTTGTTGGAGGCCTCGACTCATGTAGCGAGAGCGGCAGCGAACGCATGGATTCAGCCGCCGACGGCTCCATCGACGGCGAATCGTATCCTCGAGTACTGTCCTCGTCTTCCGACAACACCACGAGCGAGCAGCGACGCAACACCGTGGCAACGAGTCATCACCAGCTGGGCCACCTGACCAGCCCCAACACCAGTTTACATTTAAATCACCAGCAAAGCATTCACCACTGGGGTCTGAGTTTGCTGGAACGGCGCAGAGAACTGGTTGGCCTGAGCGCGGGCAACGGCTCCATCAGGCAGACGTCGGTCGGCGATATCCAGACGAATGCGACGACAACGACAACTACGACTGCGAGGAGCTCGAGTATCGACGACGAAGTCCAGAGCAGTAGCATCGACCTATCGGTCAAGGGCCGCGAGGAAAGGCGACGGCTCAATCCGTTCTCCATTGACAGTCTTCTAGGTAACAATCGATGCGGTACCTCGGAGACCAACCAGCACCATCACCATCACCATCATCACCATCATCATCAGCAGGACACAAAGGACTCGATACCGTCGTCCATCGTCGCGGGCAGAGACTTCAAGTCGCCGGCAGCTTCACCGGCGTCCTCTGCGAACTCGCTGCCGACATCGCCGACGCTGACGTAGTCCTGGCTGAGATAAAGTCGAGAGGCCTGACGAGGATAAGGAGAGCGAATAACGCGTGAGAGGAAGAATCGCAGGTGTCGCCGCTGTGTGAATGTTTCGAGGATGGCATGGGAAATTGATTTGAATGGTGTTGTCGCGTTTTCCTACACAGTAAAGGGCTTAGTAGTATTTTTTTACAAGAGTAGACTTGTTCGTGTCGCAAGAAAGATTATTTTATTAATTTGACGTATTTACATATCGTGTTCAGTAGGTGAATAGTGCGTTCAAAAAGATTGCTCGTGTGATTTTTTAATTGGAATGGCACAGCTTTTACAACGATGTAGATATTATCTTAAAATTCTGCTGATTCCAAAGTGCGCATTAAAGACAAATGTGTTTTATAGTAATTGTTATGGGCAGATTATTGTAAAATGTACTGCTTGTAAAAGAATTTTATACAGCGAAAGACTTTACGTATTTATGTTTATTTAAATATATATGTTTCGTTCGATGGCGTTTCTATCATAACCGGATGACGCATTGCCGTAAACAAGCTGATGTTTTGAACCGCTAGAGTTATTATTCCGATCCTAAAAGCTATATTTCCAAAATTGAGCGAATGGTTGAAGTTCATAGATTTAAGAGTAAAATATTAAATTTAACAATCTTAAGTTACTGTGTACGGAGTCAATCTTCGATAACGCGAGTTCGAGAATGATTTGTCCATCCTTTTACCGCGCATATCGCTTCCAACATATCCGCACTACTAGTTCATATTCTAGACTAGAAAGAAAGAAAAAAAGTGCCGTATCTTCCTTATCGAGGTTTTCTTTCTCTTCGTTTCCTCGTAACTCTTTAATAATTACTGTGCAATAAACATGTCCGGTGGTACGTATCAACCATGAATTGTCGATGGGCTCCAAATGGCAGTTGATAATGAATCGTTTTGAGAAATTTTTGAAGAAAGTGAAGTAGTTCATGGTTTTGTGTTGATTAAATTTTCAAAAACGTAAAAGGAATTTTTCTCTCAAAATATCTCGGAAAGCAAAGTTAAAGCATAAACTGTAAGGTCAAAAATTTAAAAAGCTAATACGAGTATCGAAACGATAAAGTAGAGCGTCAAGTGTATTTATTGTAAATAGTCAAAAGCGTAATTTAATCGACGTGTAGTTTAACGGATACCCAGTGTTCGGCGATTACATTTTGAAGCAATAGAATTGATTAAATGTGAAACACGAATGAAGAAGTCGATTTGTTTCGAGGTGTGTAAATACGAACCAGATGAAAATAAAAGTAAAATGAAATGATGCCATAGCCATAGCCACGAATTCATAAAAACAAAAAAACAAAAAAAAAGAAAAACATTGCAGTTGAATGTTTACCGAAAAAATCTAGCTTCTTCGAGTGTGACGATGAAGGAGCTATAATAATCGAGTCCGATCGGCGGATTTCATAGTTGCCATAAACAGAGATTCGAGACAGTACCTATCGTATATCCAATATAAATATATATTAATTTATTCTCAAAATATTTGTTTATTGTTTTACTCTACAACAATCCCACGTTATTCTAGTCCTTTCGTCATTCCCATTATACACAACATTATGTGCTAATAAACAATAATTAGGCAAATGTTTAGGCTGAAAATAACGAAAATATTTCACAAAAGAAAAATAAAAGAAAAAACAATACAAAACAAACAAGTAAAAATAAGAGAAAAAAACATTATTTCTAATAAGATTGTCAATATGATCTTATTATTATTTTATTTAATAACATAAATTTGATGAAATTTCTAAGCATTTGGTTGACTAGTACATCATAGTTTTATTAGTTATAGATTTTAGATAAACATGGATCGTTTGAATTTATCATGAAAATATTGTTAAATTTAATCGACTATCTGTGTAAATGTGATTTAATTTATTTTTTTGTTTTCCAGTAGATATTTCTTCTTTGTTGAAAATTTTTTCATGTATTTCAAACATCGTGGTAAGTACATTAAAGTTATTTCATAAATCTACCATTAATTTACAATGTTTTGTTAGACAAAGAAATGACATTGTTCGAACAAAAATATGCATTCATTTTCAGCGGTTGCAGAACATTAGCAAAATATGAATGTAAATGTTCTACATTTAATTATTATTTCATCACGCCTGTCGTAAAAGCCTTAAGACAATTGAATAAAATATGACCATCGCTTCCATTTCAATTTTAGACAAGATCGTAAACGTTATATTAAAAAAAAAAGAAAAAAAAACGTTCATTGGCAGTAAAAAGTCGAAGACAGAGCAATTGCCAATTAAATTGTTTATCTTGAATTAATTTTTAACTTTCTCTTATATTGTTTTTATTTTCCTCTTTTTAGTCGCTGTGGTCTTAATCACAATTAAGCGGTAAAGAATCGCCGTAAAAAGCGGCTGAGAGACAGAGAGATTGTACGCTAGCTGTGTGTGTATGTGTGTGTGTGTGTGCGCGCGCGCACCCGTGTGTGAGAAAGAGAGACAGAGAGAGAGAGAGAGAGAGATATGAGAGAAGAAAAAGAAGATAGAGTTCTTTGACTCCACTATCGGAGGGACGCAATGTAACAAAAGGCTATTGTGTGCATACATACACGACAGTATTATATATCTATATAATATAATTATTCAGTATACGGCAGGGAGCATTCAAAGTGCGCTTGTCGAGGTCTTACTTATTGCGTTGAATTATACCCCCTTCTCCCTCTCACCCTCCCTACCCTCACGCTCTTTTCTATCTTGTCTCTAACTCGGAATGTCGGTAACCAATCGCTAAGACATATTACCGAACGTCATCGTTGTCCTCGTCGTGGCATAAGGCGATCTCTAGAGACTTGATGTCGCACGACGAGATTATTCATGCGTGCGCGAAAGATGAGGAAAAAGGAAAAGAAATGGGAGATGCACGTTAAATTTATTTGATACGTATACACTTGGGGTTCTGAAATGTGAACGTTTGCATTAGTTTTAACCACGAGTTAACGAAATGTGAGGTATTCATTATTTTTCATTTTCAAATTGATGACGAGCATATATTTAATTATTTTCGTTACTATTTTGTTGACTTTTACATTAAGAATGAATTTCACATTCATATATGAAAGTCAAGCGTATCACTTTTACTTGATTGTAGAAAGAACGTCGTACCTTTTATTTCTTTTATAGCATTTTTAACTTGTACTTCAATTACACAGGATGGGTTTATCAATTATTCGGCAATAATATTACATCGCGAATTTCATTAGTCCAGCTTGTACCACAAATCCTCGTTGTCACGATTTCCATCTCCAAGTCTACGTAATTCCACTCTTCACCCTTCCAATAAACAAGCGTATTTTATCGAGCAATAATTAACGCTTATGTCAATTGTGAAACGCAACGATGGTACGGAAACGTGTAAGAACTTTGATTTCTTCTCGGCCGCGCGCCCAATTAGCAGTACATCGAGAGTCCTGAGACCGAGCCGCAAACGTAATACGGATGCGAGCGAGAAAGTGACTTCATTACGCGGACTTGGGATTTCAAAAATCGTATCGCATTCGCGCGCATTGGAGAATTATCGGGTCACGTGAATGCTCGACCAGGTGGTCGGAGGCGGTCTCACCTGAGCAGGTGACGGATAAAGCTTAAGCGGGCTGTAAATCAGGAGCCACCGCAGCACCATTATAGCCGGATAATGCAAAGTAATGAGTGCTATAGGCTGATTGCATTAAGACGTTTTCCCGCTGGTCGCGTGCCTTTTTCCTTGCTTTTACGATCTTTCGGGGGATAAGGTGGCGCGTCGCAATCATGGGATGTCGAAGCCGAGCGGCAATAAGCGGGTAATTGATCGATCATTTGGTGAAAAGGCCGGCTAATATCTTAGCGGAGTCCTCGTTATCGGCCCTTCGAATACTTCGCGAATATTATTTGGAAATTAGATTCGTCGCTAGAACATTTAGAAACTTGAATTACTTATACGTAATTCTAGAAGTTGTCGATTCTCTTGCACTAGACGGTTCGTCGTTCTCTCCGCAAATAAAATTTCTTCGTGCCAAGACAATTCCAACTAATTTCATGTATATACTCTTTGAGGTTAGGCTAGATTGAGAAAATAATTAATTAAAATCACGGAGTTTTAATTTTCTTTACATTTAAAATTCGAATATTTGCGTCTCTTGGCTCATTCGATTAACGGGGTACTCGTATCGACGGTTATTTTTCACAATTATAATAATATGAATAACAACAACAACATCAACAACAACAACAACAATAAGAATAATAATAGTCACGATGATGACGATTATGATTATGCCGATATCGGTAATAACGGTAATGATGGATCTTCCATATGAAATAACTAAAAAAGATATGTTATTTTCACGACAATCTGACACGCTCTGTAGATTAATATCCTCAATTTGATTAAAAGAATCATTGCATCTTTGCAGGATCTATCGATAATTCGGCCTCTTTCAAGGTGAATTTATCACCCCATAAAATAATTAATTTGATAAAATCGATTGCGCGATAAAATGATGGTAGAGGTGCCTGGATTTAAGTGAATTTTCATGCCGAAGGACAAATCATAAATCAGCAATGTCCCGGCATAAGCGAATCTGATAATTTGGGACTTTTACGCTCTGCAATTGCAAACCTAATTCGCAAGATCGTTCGGACCTCCGATGCAATTAAGATTCGCGATCTAGCCGAAAGAAGTGCCCGCATGTACGTAGAGTGCGAGATCCGGCCGTGGAAAAGCGCACCATCTCGGGAATCCATTAACGCGCGCGAATAAAAAATCGAGACCCAGGCAATAATGAGGCCTCGCTCGCCGATAAAAAACAGTACAAATAAAGATAGAGATCTGGGGGAAAAGCTGGCGCGGTGCTTGGAGAGTTACGGGGCCCGTCGCTGGGCCGCGAGGTGCAAATCGATCGAGTTAGGGCCAGCGAGTAGATCATGGCCGGCAGATGCGGGGTCGCAGGTCGAGGGTTCGCATATAAAGCATTTGAGGGGCCCGTTCCCAGCGGTCTTATCGCCGGAATCCAATCGCGCTCCCACACCGGCTGCCGCTCGCGCCTTCGTGCTCTCTTTGTTTCTCCCGGGCCCGGACGACTCCACCCACGCACGTCGCGTTAACCGCTAATGCGCACTTCTTTTCTCGCTTTCGAGCCCTCTCCTCCCTCTCCCGGCGCTTTTGCCATCGCGAGCCCGGCCCCCTCTCACCCTCATTGTTATTATTATCTTTATCGATGTATTCAATACAATACGCTGCGCCGAGGCACTAGCGCATAGGGGCATATAAATCAGCCGCGGAAGAAGGTCCTTATTAAAGAGCTGCGTGCCTGATGCTCGTTTTGCCGCGGCCTTGTAAGAGCGACGTTTAAGGCCCGATAAGGGGGTACAATTATCATGGCTCGATGCGCGCCTCGATCATTTCTCCCCGCGTCACTCGCGAATGTATCAATGATTGGGGAAAAAGCTGAGCCGCCGATAAATATTTCTCGTTAAAGGAGGATCGAGCCCCTCGAGATGAAGAAATTATTTTTTACGAGGGCAGTCGGTTATCTCGTGTGCAAAAGAATTTTGCCAATGGTTTTTAAAGCCGGCCGAGAGCACCGTACTTTTGACGTGCAAGCGCGAGTTTTGAAATTATCGATGCACAAGTGCTGCTTTACATGCATGTAACAGAGGCTGTCTTAATATTTTAAACTCCCGACTTTGTTTTAGGCGAACTTTCCAAAGTATGGGATGAGTTACAAAACTTTAAATTGCTAAATGCATTACGCAATGCTGATTAAGCTGACTTTTGTGTAGAGCAGTTTTCGTTTATTTCGCAACGCTTATAAAGGATTAGACTTTATACATTAAGCTTATTTCGAAAACGTTTAATCCCCATTCTATTAACGCAATATATCTTCTATTATGATTTCATATTTTGCACTTAGTTAATCTTGAGGATATTTTCGATCGAAACTGATTAATGATTAATAACAGGCTGCATTAACATCTATATTTAGTAAATTGAAATGTAAGAAACTTGCTATAATGTAGACTTAAGTTTCAGTGTCGGTAAAGGAGCGAGAATTTATTTCGTGGCGCGTTATTAATAAAAATACTTCTCCGTATGTCTTTATTACAGAATTGAATTCTGGGAGCGCCCATTGTTCGTTATTCATTAATCATAAGAAAATCAATCGCTGCTAAAAGTTGCCGCGGTATTCATGTTCGAATAAAAAAGGTTGTGTTTTAATATAAATGCGTGAGTGTAGGTGAGATTTAATGTCTCAACTGACTTGATTATGTTAATGCTGTTAATGCCTAGGGACGATGAGAAACGCA